ATTGTTTACCTGGGTCTTCAGTCTATGATTAGCTCACCTCACCTCTTATCTGACAAGTCATCTGGTTTGGGTCGTTCGTTCATCACGTGACAGCCCCATAAAGCCCAAACCCGAAGATTTGTCAGATAAGAGGTGGTGAGCTAATCATAGACTGAAGACTCAGGTAAACAATGAATTAATCTTTTCTGTTTCTTATTGCAGTTTTGTATTGTTTGTAGTGTGATCAACGTTTGTGTAAGTAGTAGACGTGTTATGGAAGTAACACGTAACATTTTAATTATATTTTGCTAAAATGAACGAAATGACTCGAAAAAAGATTCGTTCATTTTGCTGAACGAGACTCAAAGCTCCGAGTCGGTAAAATGATCCGAACTTCCCATCACTAGCTTATTCAGCAACTGCTATAGGGATTTCCTGTAGTTCTTCTGCAGGGTGTATTTGAAGTTTCCGCCTGAGAGCGCCCTCTGGCTTTTGGATGGAGATTTACTACTGATCACAGAACCGTGCTTCACTGACGAGATGCCCATGACAAACGCAGCTTCTGCCTAATCGCGATTGCAATTTAATTTCGATTAATCGTGCAGCCCTACTTATAATGAAGAGTAATTCCTCTCAGGAATCAGAATTTTTTAGCACTAATGCAACAAATTGTTTTTGGGAAGGTTTAATCTAGTAAGATCTGCACTCACCACCAAGGGTTTCTTCTTCTCTAGCATCTGGATCCTGTCCAAGTGTCTCTTCTTCATGTAGTAGCGCTTCACATCCAGTTTGTTCCTCTCATTCCTCTGTCTGGCCATCTCTAGGAAGTCGGCTTTCTCCTTACACACATTCTGTCAAACATCACAAACAGGATGGAGTGAAATTAAAGCCCTATCACAGCCTTAAAATGGATTTCAAAACAAGAAAAACATTCACCTCCAGTTTGCTCTCTTTGCTACAATACGTCTTGAGCTCGCAGTGAAACTCATACATTTCTGGCGGGCCGACAGACTTCTCAGTGGCTTCCAGAAGCTCGATATTACTCATCTTAGCAAACTCACCAACCTTCTCCTGCAACACCAAATAAAAGACAAACTATTCATAAAAAAATAAGCAGCTCTTGTGCAGTTCTTCAAAACTTCACAGACATGTTTGACAATATATTAGGGTTGCTCCGATTGATCGGCCGGAGATCGGTATCAGCCGATAATCACATTTTATGAAACGTGTGACAAGTCTGACGACGTACATGATGCGTGGGAACATAAATGATTTGGCGCCACAGTCATGTCATCGCCGGTGTGGAAATGCTATGACGTTTCGAGAAACAATGAAAAATTTGCTATTTGTTGTGTATGTTTTGCATGATGATATGATGAATAGATGGTTCATTTTTAACAGCAGATTCAGTGACGTTAGAGCTGATCTGCGCCTCACTGCACACGTCTGCGGTGCGTCACACGATCGCGGCCACTCTAATGCTTGTGTTTATACCGGCCAGCCGCGGCACGTTTCTGAAGCAGCTCTCCGTGCTGCTTGGCTAAAAATAGACTTTTGTGAGTTGTCACAGCGTGGAGGACGGAACAAAACCTCGTCGGAGCCGTAAGGGATAACGGTAACATAATACGCTGATCGTGGGCTGCTTTTAAATTAACATTTATTTATAAAACAAAATATCTTATTTGGCCATATTAGCCTACTCAATAGCATTAACACAGGCTTTACTCCTTTCAAATTTTATCTGGAATGTCACCGTTTCGGTCACTGCAACTTTCCGATCAGGTGAACGAACACACACACACACACACACACAAAATCGTCTGCCTCATGAAAAAAATTTATTTAAAAAGAAAATGTAGTTAATATTTACATAATTTATTATTTATTTTATCCACCCGCAAATAATCAGAATGTATATATTATTACCCGAACGCGTGGATATAGGAAAAGCTAAATATGTTTGCAGAGTAAATCAGACGGACTTACTGAAAATGCAAATTCATTCTCTGCCAGCAGGAGGTGCTTTAAAGCGGGAGAAACAGAGGTTTCCCCAGTAAGGGCTGTAAGTTACACAAAGCAGCGCTGAGCTCACAAACGCTGCTTTATCAGGCATATAACATGCAAGATGAAATGAAAATGACAAGTGACGTCGAACATTTTCTAAAGATAGTCTTCCTTCAGAAATACAGTGATATAAAAACACCCGTGCCTCGTTTCGATTTTTAAACGTGCAGTACATGCTCATGTTTATTCAACGGAGCCTTTTGGAAAATCCGTCAGTTTTGATATTGTGGCGAGCGCCACAAATAAATAAATGTATGGGAAACACATCCCACAGCACAACCACCTGAGCCCAACTTCAGTCTATTCACCTTAACTTTAACTGCGTTTGTAGCCGGAGCCATAGCCAGACTGATAAACAAACACCACACAAGTTAACTTAGGGCCAGGCGCGTGTGCCCGATGAAAACTTCTATATAAAGCTTGAAGCATCAGAATCGGCATCGGTATCGGCCGATCACCATGACAAGAAATCGGTACTCAGTATCGGCTGCAAAAATCCTGATCGGAGCATCCCTACAATATATATATTGTGCAGTAATAAACTTGTCACTATAATAACAGCGCTCACCTGTGGTAGGAACTGACACAGGTTCCCGACCTGAATGTGCAGCTCTTTCACAGCCTCCTCCACAGCCCTCTGACTGGCGTGTTTTTTATTGAGCATCCATGTTGACTGGTTGTTCTCCTCCTGGATCTCTCTGCTGATTATCAGATTGCCATTCGCTCTGTATCTGGACACAAAGACGAGCAGAGATTAACTTGAGCAGAGATGAACTGAGCAACTCTAAGTCTCTTCAAGGACTTCTGGAAATGGCCATTGTATAAATATATACTTACAGCTCAATTTCAACTGAACCCTTGCTGCATCCTCGCTTCACATACAGACCAACCTACAAACAGAAAAATACCTAGTTTATTTATTACTGACATAAGAATGTCAATAAGTGTTGTGTAAGAAAAATATAGATTTTTAAAAATGTATAAACTGTAATCTCCAGCTTCAGGTCGCTCAAGCAGGTGCATTCACGACAAGGCGTCCGAGCGTATGACGTAGCAGATGGCGCAACGTAACTCCAGGCAGAAGAGTCTAGTCTCGTGAGAACCAAGTTTTGTTTACAGCACAGGGAAACCAGTGAACTACATCTAATTCTGTAGTTTGTGCCGCTGCCGCTGCAGCCTCCTCCATCTCACGGAGTTCCTGGTCGGTATACTCCGGTTCAAACAAATATGGCTGGGCAAAAAACTCATTCTCCTCTTGCCTTATATCGAAATCTAGAGCTGGGTATCGTGTTCGATACTTTGTAGGCACCGACCGAATTGCCTCTATACTATCGAGTATCGAAAAATGTCTTGTCGTTCGGTACCAAATTTCGATACCTAAAGGGGGTAATCTGGTCAACGTCAGTGAGCCAGTAAGCATCCAGCTTGCTTGATGCGCCTAAATCAAGTGCTGGTGATTGGCTCTGGTGAGGCATCGAGGTAAAACACTAGTTTACACCGGTTCCGCCCAGAGACGTGACTCACAAGTGTGTAAGCGTCCAAACCCCCATAGATGTAAGGCTACGTTTACACTAGTGCGTTTTCATTTTAAAATAAATGAACCTCGTCCATACTGGCATTTCCACTGCGTTTCAGAAGAGATTTGTCCACACTACATGACCAAAAATGCATGTTACGTGACCATTCATGCACACTGTAGCATCATGCTGCCACATAAGACAATTCATAAGATTTAGTCTATGCTTTTATTCAAAACTCACTTTAAACCACCATCGAGTGTTTGTAATAACTTCCGATTGCGATTTAATGAGGGCTTTGGTCATATAATGTTGCTGAAATATGTTATTTGTAGCCTTTTATATCAAGCTAATCGCTACACCTGCTTAGCATTTCTCATGTAAACACCCTGTATTGTTATGAAAATAGGCAGAATCTCATGAAAATCACATACAAATCATATACTGTCGTAATCGCATGTTCATTAGCTTCATGTTTCATCCGTGGAAATGTTTTTCTGGGTTTCTTATGTACAGAACTGAAGGGGAAAGTGTAATGGACGTTTGTCAAAGGAGACAGGGCGGGTTATGAACGTGTAATATGATTTGACAGTTGAGCAGCGATTGAGCTCCTCTGAGTCAGAACAGCGATTGCAGAAGAGAGAACAGACAGCAGTGATCAATAAATCAGTGGAAAATTTATAGAAATTATGATTCTGTTTAAGCTATGTGTTTTAAAACTAAATGCACTAGCATAAACGTAGCCTAAAAGTTGTGGAAACTGAAAACTAGGCCTATTTGAAATTTATTAAAACTATTTACATTGATTTATTGTGTTGGTTACATTTTGTCTTTGAGTCTGTAAAAACATTAATAAGCAGAAAAAATAAAACCAAAAAGTTTTTTTGAGGTAATTGTCTTGTTAAAACGGATTTAATAAAATTGGTATTGAAAAAAGTATCGTTCAGGAACCGGTATCGAAGTCAAGGTATCGGTATCGAACATTTTTGAACGATACCCAGCCCTATCGAAATCCTCTGACATTTTTCACTCAGAATCTTGTTTTGTAGTACTAGTTCGTGACAGGTGTTTTGTTTTGCTTTCTCTTCTGTGCTTTCGCGTTCGTCACTCTCTCCCCGGAGTTACGTTGCGCCTTCCACTAAACCTACGTCATACGCTTGAACGCCTTGTCGTGAACGCGCCTGCTTGTGCGACCGGAAGCTGAAGATAACAGTTTATACATTTTTAAAATATAGAGTTCTGGCATGAAACTCTGATGGCGCAGTCCGATAGGTCTAACTCAATTGTTATATGTGCAGCAGCAGTATTTCTTACATGCTCACAGCAGCATGTTGTGGATGTATTGGCAGTAGCAAGTCTCGGCACTTGCTCTGCCGCAGCAGCAGCGTAGCAGATCTATTCCGCCAAGACCAAATACATTAACATTGTCATGTACATTACCATGCCAATCCCTCCGAGAGTTTTCATGACAGAACTATATTTTTCTTACACTAACGTTTCGCTTCAGAAGGCCTTTATTAACACCTCAGAGCCGTGTGGAGAAGTTTTATGATGGATGGATGCACTTTTTTAGGCGTCAAAAACAGGGGCACCATTCACTGCCATTATACAGCTTGGAAGAGCCAGGGCAATTTTAAATATAACTGCGATTGTGTTCGTCTGAAAGAGGAATGTCAGATACGCCTAGGATGCCCTGAGAGTGAGTAAGTCAAGGGCTAATTTTCATTTTTGGGTGAACTATCCATTTAATGGCTTCTTGTGCGCACATAAAACTCTGCATATTTTTTATTTCTGCAAAGCTCCTTGAGGCTATATTGAGGCAAAGAATATTGTGAGAAGAAACCCAAAACGCTTATAACCTGCATTTTGCATAATGAAAAATTGCACCTTGAATTCATTGAGTCGTGTTTTCATTTTTTTTAGTTTGTGTTCATTTTACTTCAAGTAAAGACGTATAGTTATTATCTAATTATCAAATTTATTATTAGTTATTATAATTATAGTTTTACTTTTGTTTAAGATAATAACCATAGTATTTGATAATTAAGTGTTCCTGAATATAAAAGCTGAAAAAAGGTACAGAAAAAGGATATTTTCATTATCATATATTTGCTGTGCTAATTCAAGCACTAATTCCTAAAAATTTACATTATTTAAGTTATATTTAGTTCTAAATCATCCTGTTTCTCCTCCAAGTACTTTTTAGGGTGGACAAACTTCTCGGTACGCATTAGACCCAATTCCTGTGGGTTTTTCTCCTTTCCCTGCTTGTATCATGTGAAAGTTACCGGATTTACCAGCTTGTACACTGTGTTTGCATGCTGACTACAGACAACCAAATCATCACAACTACCTCCTAAGCATCTGCACATGCAAAAACCGCATTCACACAGATTTCTGAGTGCCATGTGTACTAAACTAGACAGATGTAACCATCTGAGTGTATTTGTGAATCATACCGAGTTTCTGCACCTGTAAAAGCTTTTGGTACAGTGTCTAGAAGTGGCTCGACAACAGATGGTCGATGTGAAATGACCAAAAATGTTCATGATACTTATACAATCACCACATAGCACTAAAGTCTGTAACCTGACCGAGCTGTCAGACAGATGTCATGCAGTGCTGAGATGAGAGACTCGCCTTGTCTCCTCGTCCCAGGACGGCTGTTTTTCCAGCCAGGCCCAGGCAGATGGCACACACTATACTGGACTTCCCTGTGCCATTGGCTCCCACGATCATGTTCAGCTTGGGTCCCGGGAAAACTTGCGAGTGATCGTATGTGCTACAAACAGAGACGACCTGAATTACAACTATAATTCATAATGTAATTTGACAATTCCTGACATGAGCCTGTTGTGACAGTGAAAAGAGCCGTTTTGAATTACGTGTTAACGTTACTCACAGGAAGTTATGCATGGTGATGCGGAGGATCGCGCCCTCCACGAAACCTCCCGCTTGGCCATTCGTGCTGGTGGAGGGTGCAGCCTCGCGGGTGGAGGGCTGGGAGTTGGTTAATTCGTAGCTTATTCGTTTTCTCTTCTGCGGCAGGTCCATTTCTCTTCCCGTCAACACCGCCGTTTGGTGTTTAGCAGCAGCGCCGTCACATCACTTTCATTCTTCTTCTTCTTCTTGAAATTTTATTGGCGGTTGACAAACCATCACTTTCATTTCGCGCCTGTGTTGCGGTTGGCTGACGGATGTCACATGACACATTCCGGGTTGGTGGGGGGGGGTTCACCTCATTTGTTGCAGTGAGGGGCTACTGCATTTGTTAGGGGCGGTATGTGCGCTTACAACACATAAGCACTAGATGGCAGTAAAGAATTAACCTGTGATATTTGTGTTGGACTGAGATAGTCTTAACCTCTTAAGACCCGGCAAAACATTTTAGGAAAAAATTAGTATTTTTTCATGTCATTACATTGTTTAGAGCATTAAAAAAATTTAATAAAAAAAAAAAGCAAAAAAATTAAAAATTTTAATGAAAATTTTTTTAATTAAAATTAAAAATTTAAAGAAAAAAAATTTAAAAATTTCATTCACACAGTTTAAAAATTAGTCAGATTTAAATGATAATTACAAAATATTATCATATTTCCATAAGAGTGTCACTAAATTAATATCAGACATTTTTGAAGACCAAGGAGAGGGAGTGGCCATGGTGAAACATCAGAACATTTAGTATCTCTGAAAAGCCCTGAATGTGCTCTGCACAGGACATCCAGACTTAAAACTGGGGCATGTATAGTCTTAGATAAATTCACTAAAATATCATGTCCTCATTTGAGGATGCAGGGTCTCAGGAGGTTAAATTTATCATCTGTTCTACTTCATTCAAATGAACATGACTTTTCTAAAAGCAAAATATTTATTATTGATTTGTTTTTGTTATTAGGACATTTTTTTATATATTCATCAAACTAAATGGAGTAACTCAAAACCCAATTTTGTTCATTTTCAAACAGCCTTTAAAGTTTATTTAGAATCTGTAAAGGTTTTTTAAAAAATCGAAAAGCCCAAAGAACTGTGCATCTGCTAAATATTTTTATACTTTCTCGTTTAAGTTCTATTTTTTATTTTAGTCTATTTAAATTGTGTTTTAATTTGTACTTACAAAATGTGTGAATGTGAGAAATATGTCAAGAACTTGCTGTTGAATTCTGTAATTTTGAAAGTTCAATATATATATATATATATATATATTTAAATATATACTACTATACAGGTATATGTACTACTACTATTTTATGTACCTGACTCTTTACCAAAGTGTGCGTTTTTGCACATTGAATGTCAGGGAAGCAGCTACATTTAACCAAATTTTTGCCCTATTCAATCTTAAACACTTAAATAAAACGTGTTCAAGATATATTTAAAGGGCAATTATATAATATACAGTAGTGGCCAAAAGTGATGTCCGGAGAGGATATTTGCACAATATTTGCTTTTAATCATTCTACATGTTTAATTGAAGCATCAAAATATGACAAACATGTTATATTTGGAAGAGGAAAACACTACATTTGATTAAGGTATTTGACTGACAAAATTATTTGGCAGCAAAAGATCTACAGCTTATCAGTTTATGAATATGGGTTTTATTTTAATATGCAAAAAATGCATAGACATTGAGTTCACAGGAAATAAAGTACACAGTATACACTGACTACAATATTCTCATGCATATTCCTCAATACGAATATTTGCTTGAGGTATCACAAATGAAACAATTGAAACATGGAACACAAATGTTTTACACAATCCAATCACAACTAAGCAATATGCTTAGAAAATCTACATCAACATGTTTGAATAAAGGGCAAAGATATTCAATTTCCTAGGACGGACATCATTTTTTGACACTACTGTATATAATTACATAATATACACTAAATACATACTTAAAACATAATGTATTTATTTGGTATATTACCTACTTTCGCAGTTGATTTCCTAAATAGCTACAGTTTTGTTTCATGTCTCTCACATCACTTTGCACTCACTTTCTTCTCACATAATAAAAAAACTTCAACTCACATCAGTATTTCATATCCATTTATTTTTATTTGGTAGTTGTGTAATAATCAAGATAATGTACAGTCAGCCAGTCACCGTCACAAAAGATTAGGACAATCAGTTGTTACATTTAAAGCTTTTAGACATTACATTTAACGAAGGGCTAAATGCTATTCTCATAAAATAGAAATCTCTGCAATTTTTATTAAAGTTTTATTTGACATTAAAATAATCACCAGATCTACATGCTGATGTCCAGAAGTACAAATGAAATCAAGAAAATAAGACATCTGTAGAGGGGCTAATCCATCTTTAACCATGCATTCAATATATTAAGACATATGATACACACATGAGAAACTGTATATCAGGAATGAACCAGGTGTTCAAAAGTCAAATCCACAAGGACAGTTTTTAGGTGAACATATCCACTCATAATGCAGTCATCTTCCCTTTCATCCTCCTCACAGATCACTGCCCTCCAGCTGTACCCTCACATGGTTTCAGTTTTCCCAGCATTCTTCTCTTTCTGTCTTTTCTATTTAAAATTCACTGACTGAATATCATTATTATTTCCAGAGAGGCGAAGATGAGGGATATGGTCATCAGCATATTCTGTGTGGATGAAAGGACAAACAGTACGTAAAGATGTTTATGGTAACGTGAATAACAGATGTATGTGATCATCAGATTATTAAGAATACCTCTGCATGGTCCTCTTTCAAAAACAATATCATCGATTGCAATATCACTCCTTACTGATGCTCCTCTGGTGGCTTCAAACACAATCTAAGTATGTGGACATAGGCATAATATATTAAAGGGATAGTTCACCCAAAAATGAAAATTTGATGTTTATCTGCTTACCCCCAGGGCATCCAAGATATAGGTGACTTTATTTCTTCAGTAGAACACAAACGAAGATTTTTAACTCAAACCGTTGCAGTCTGTCAGTCTTATAATGGAGGTGGATGGGAATCACGGCTTTGAGAGTCAAAAAACATACACAAACAAAACCAAATTAAACCCTGCGGCTCGTGACGATACATTGAGGTGTAATGACAGGAAACGATCGGTCTGTGCAAGAAACTGAACAGTATTTATATCGTTTTTTACCTCTGATTCACCGCAATGTCCGAACTGTCCTGAGTGCGTTCCAGACAGCCGGCGCGTGACACGTCTTCTTCTTCTTCTTGCTTTATGGCGGATCGTAGACTTATAAGTGCATTTCCGCCACCTATCTCTCAAATGGACCCTTGACACTCCTAATTGATGTGTTTTTTTTTTACTCTCAAAGCCGTGATTCCCATCCACCTCCATTATAGGACTGACAGACTGCAACGGTTTGAGTTAAAAATCTTCGTTTGTGTTCTACTGAAGAAACAAAGTCACCTACATCTTGGATGCCCTGGGGGTAAGCAGATAAACATCACATTTTCATTTTTGGGTGAACTATCCCTTTAATGAATGTTGACTAAATTTAAAACATTTTAAAAATAATTCCTAAATTAAAAAATGTTAAATAGTAGCTCTTAACTGATGGGTCACATCAAAATATTGTTTGGCTTATGCAATTCTTGGTAAAAAAATAAAATAAAAATAATAATAATAACAGTAATAATAATGATTTTGGTACAGTGTTGGGTTTTCATTTGATGTCCAGTGTTAAATATAGGTACAGGACCAAAACCAGTTGTCAAGCACTATAATGCAGCTTCATGCAGCTAACCTGGTGCTGTTGGTCACATTGGTAGTTCACTGACGCTCTGAGCCAGGAGATGCCCTGCTCTCCATGGCTCGTCCACAGTAGTTTGTCCTGGTTCCCTTGTCCAGTCTGGAGGTAAACGCTCAGCTGTCCGATCCCTGAGCCGTACATGTGGTAGTAGAACTAGAAGCACTGTGTTTCTCTAGAGCCGCGCAGAGAGCTGGAGAGGAGGCGCGCTTTGTGACCGGCCAGTATCACTGACACCTCAATGTGCAAATAATGACCTAAAAGCAGAGAACAAAGCTTTCCAAGATTGTGTAAAGGTGTGTACTAAGTTCAATAAAATGTGATCACCACAGAAAATAATAGTGTTTTATCCCTGAAACAATAATAAACTTGAATGTATGTCTATGAGGTAAAGTACACCCATGTGAAAGAAGTGTAACTGTATTTAATTGAATTGAATTTAAATGTTCATATGTGTCTAACTACTATGTACTTAAGTCAAAAGAATATTTGGTAACACTTTATTTTAAGGTGTCCTTGTTACACGTTACATGTACTTACTATTATAATAACAATTAATTATGCATAATTACATGCAAGTAGCCCTAAGCCAAACCCTAACCATATAGTAAGTACATGTAGTTACTTAATATTACTCTGTACGTATATGTATAATTACACTGTAACAAGAGCACCTTAAAATAAAGTGTAACCAAATATTTTTTAGGTACAGTGTACCGGTTGTGCTTATGTTGAACTGCAAAACACTTTTGCAGTTAGATTTGGTGGTTTGGTTAGATTTAAGGGTGGGTTAAGCTGAATGGGTGGAGATGACAGTGTAATTATAGATGTAACTACAGAAATTAATTACAGATGTAATTAAAGGAAGGCATTTAATGTAAGTACACTTGTAATTAATGTTAATGTAAAAATACAAGTGTATTGTATCAAATGATCAATGCATATGTAAGTATGTATTATAACATAATATACTATAGTACCATACTATATACTAAATACATGTTTCAGTAGCAATGCCATAGATTTTTAGTTTACCTTAAAAAGGAACTATAACTTCTGGAAGCACCTCTTTCAGTAGCTTAGATAATTCTTCCTGTCCTATAGCAGAGAATGAGTGGAATTGTTCCTCAGGGGATCTATTATGCTCCGATGCGATACTGTTGCTGACGGCTGCATGGTTAGAATTTTATCTCTAATAGTATCGATTTTGGAATTAAAGAAGGTCAAAAAGTCATTACTGCTGTGCTGTTGGGAGATGTCTGCCCCTGCTGATGCTTTATTTTTCATTAATTTAGCCACTGTATACTGAATGAATACCTGGGGTTGTGTTTCTTTTCTTCTAAAAGAGATAAAGTAAAAAGATCTAGCAGTTTTTAAGGATATTCCCTCCATGCAATACAAAACACCTCTAGTTTTGTTTCCGTACAGCTGCACTCTTTAGGGTGCTCGTTACACTAGACTGTTTTCCTTAATCTTCTTTAAGTGTAAAAGAGCAACCGTATTTAAAGTGCTAGAAAAGAGAGAGTTCTGTTACTACATCAAGTTTTTTTAAGCTATCAGATAAGCTGAAGAATTGAGACAAGCCAGGAAGTTCAGAAAGCTCTCGAATTTCATCAAAAATACAC